AAAAAATAACCCCATCCCAGCACCGCCCGCCCCGTGGAAACAAACCCTCCTTCCCCAGCGCCGCCCCACCGAAACAGCGGTATTGAACCTTGGTAATATGTTATAGAAATGGAAAAACTCTCCACACAGCTTTGGCCTAAGAAGGACCTTTCAAAACATACTTAGGCTTATTAGAAAGCTTCAGTGGAACCCTTTTTCCATTTCTCTTGCATGGTCCAAGGAATCTTTGTCACGGTCAAATGGATATAAGTTCACTATTCAGGAGGCTTACAAAGCTACAGAAGTTCCTGTCCAGGGAAACTCAGAGCTCACTCCAGGGCCACCCCTAACTTGGAGAAAGGAGGCACAGGTGGACAAGCTTCACAAAGCTGCGATTTTGGGTACCCTGCACTCTTTCATTAGGCACTATCAGCAGAACACACAGGTATATGCAGATACAGCCCTTGACCACAGAGCATTTAAAAGCTTCTGTGAGAAGCCCTTACTTTCTCTTTCTAGTTCCCCCCATTCAGTCTCTTGTTCTGCCTAAGGTAGGGTACTGCCACGCAGAACTTGGTGCCTTCACTATTGCGAAGAAACCAAAAGAAAGGTCTTTGAATGTTTATCTTGAATTTGGGTCAATATATTAAACTTCCTCTTATGTAAATACAGTAGCTTTATTTGTCTGAACATAGAAAAATAAGTTAATTTCTCACTTTAGTTAGAGCACATATACATTTATGTGCGCTATAATACTAGAATTTGAGATTAGGACATGCTTACAAATATATACATTTCATTATGGATAATTAAAAGTATGATATGCACCTCTTTGGCATGAACATCCTCCATTCTCCATCATCTTTCTTTTCCAAATCTTTTTTTCTGGGCTTTGTCAACATGACAGCTTAAAACTGCCTGCTTTGCCTCACACACACTCATTTTAGAAGCATTTGCTAGAACAAGATGAGAACCCAGTCGTCTAAGCTTCATTGATATTAACACAGTTTTAAATATCTCCTGCAGCAGAGCTTAGTGTCTTCTTTCATCATCATCTTCAAATATATTTTCTAGTAAT